ATTGAAATCGTCTCGATTTTAAAAACCGATTTACTAATTCATAGTACTTTCGGTTCAAATCGGACGTTTACATGATAGATCTTCACAGATCTACAATTTTTTTCGATTATTTATTTATTTGTTTATTTTTTTCAAACATTTTCATAGTATTTCGATTCAAAATCGGACTTTTATATGATAGATCTTCACAGATCTACAAAATCTTCGATTATTTATATATAGATTTATTTTTTTTCAAATATTTTCATAGTATTTTTTTTCAAATCGGACATTTACATGATAGATCTTAACAGATATACAAAAATTTCGCATATTTATATATTTTTTTTTATTTTTCAAACATTTTTTCGATGAAAAAAGAGTTGATGATAATAGGTATGTAGTTATTTTGTTAGATCTGTGCAGATCTGTGTAGATATACAAAGTTTTATTTTTTTGAAAATTTTAAAGCGATTTTTCAATTAATAACATATTGAAATAACAGATCTGCACAGATCTATATTTTCGTTAGTGTTTTTTTAAATTTTAAAAACGTATTTTATGATTTGTCACCTTTTTTAAATTTTACGGAAGAGAATTTAGCAAGTAAATTGTCACCTTTTGATCTTTCAAATGCTGAATTATACAAATAATGTTGCAGTATTGAGTGGCTCGTAAACTTTCAAAACTTACACCAGAATATGAATATTTGCTACTTGTCAGTATCAAGCAATAGGATACTAATGTTTGACGACAAACTTGAGAGCGTTTTTGTTTCTCTATATTGTTTCTTTTTTGGAGGAAAAGGAATTCATTCAGTTTAGGTGAACTTGCACCTCAAAGAAGAAAAAATAACTTGATAACTAAAGAAATGATTAATGATACATCAACCGAGTCCTTAAAAACGTATTTCATAAATCTGTTTATCTTTTGATTCCCCGACCCATGTCGTCTATCTTTTAATGATCTCCTGTAACCTCGTATTTTTTAATAATTTTTTTCAGAATCGATGTTTAACATCGCTGCTGTCTATCCCCAAACTTAGCCGAAAAGGTCAAAAGAAGACACACATTCTACCATCTATATATCAGATAAGGGCCTCGCAGTTGTTGCTTTGCAAGATTTTTTAAAGATCATAGTGAAAATACTACTTATTCTAACATCTCAGATTTTGCTTTTGCAGGTCGAATGAATCTAAGAAGCTGAGTAATCCATTTGAGCTATAAACAGTGACAACACGAAGCATACACGTTCCAGTTACACAATAATAGCAAAAAAAGGTAACACTTTCAACAACATTGATAGTAAATATAGGACCCAATCTGATTGTGTACCATGTTGTGTAGAAAGATCATCCTTTTGACGTTTATTGCCAATTAAGTTGTAGCCGGTTAGCCTCTTCATGAAATTGTGCTTCGGGTCCAAAAAAATGTTGTTTGATTGTAAGGGGTTTAATCGAATGTTTTAGAGAAACACAAAATGAAATAAAGGGTAAGGTGTTTATATAATAAATCAGTCATTCTATTTTAGTTAAGTTAATTAATATATTCTGTCAGTAGTTAATGTAATGAATGGCGATTGATATGGTATAATTTTTTTTGTTAATCTCACACATAACTGTTTGGTTTTTGTAATTATGTATATGAATGTGATTAAATGATCAAATATTGTTTTTGTAATAGATTTTGTAATCTCACACATAACTGTTTGGTTTTTGTAATAGATTTTGCCGTGTGTTTGTATGTTTTCATTGATTTGTTTTAATACGTTTTGTTGTTCTTCATATGGGATGTGTTTTGGTGTTTTTTTATTAAAGAAAAACAAAAGGAAACACTTTCTGTGTAATTAAAACCAGAAAATGTGGTATTTTTCTGTGGAAATTCTGCTTTATTTTGATTGTTGTTTACCAGAAAATGTGGTATTTATCCAGGGAAAGAAAATGTTATTTGTCTTCAAAATGTATCTTCTAATAAATTTTAAATGTTCACTGTTTTTTTTTTTTCATCATCTTTCTACCAAGTGCACCTTCAAGATGAATGTGTCTGTCAGGTGAATGCGAGGCCCATGACAGTACAATTTGGAGCATTTTTACATTATTAAATTAAAAGATAAATGTAGTATTTTAATTATTATTTACGTAATTTATACTAAATCTCACATTTTAGTTGTGCCTTCTGAATATAAATATATGGTGCATAATGTAGATATGGAGTTGATGAAAGAAAGATTTTCAAAGTTGCTCCTGGGTGAGGACATGTCCGGTGGAGGAAAAGGAGTTTCTTCAGCTTTGGCATTGTCAAATGCAATCACAAACATGGCAGGTACATCTCACATTGTCAAAGTTTGGTCTAATTACAAGAAATTCCTAATTTGATTCTCTTTCTCTCCATTTTTTTAAATGAATTTGAGCTTCTGTATTCGGAGAACAAAAGAGGTTAGAGCCGATGGCAGCAGACACCAAAGCAAGGTGGAGAAAAGAGATTGATTGGCTCTTATCAGTCACAGATCACATTGTTGAATTTGTTCCCTCCAAACAAAGGTCCAAAGATGGAACCAACATGGAGGTCTCTCTTTCTCTCTCTCTGGGCTAAATTAATCTGCAATTCAATCAAATTACCTAACATCCACTCTAAATATTCAATTCACAACACTGTATATTGAATTGATTGTTTTTGATTGATTTTAAAAAAATTGTTTTTTATTCGTATTTCATAATATATGTTTGATTTTTTATTCATATGAGGAGCGGTGAGTGGCGGTTAAGTCGAGGAAGGGCGAGTTGAGGTCGATTGAGGTTTTTGATGCGGTTGTGTTCTGCAGGTAAACAAACCAAAATGTTTTTTTTTTTTATTTCAGTTCAGTAAAGGTAATAAGAAGACTTCATTGCTTAACTTGCACTTTTTAGTTGATTGGCTGAAAGTGTTCTTTATAAAAACTTTATAAAGCTCTCATAATCAGTGTGTTGTCTGCTAGAAATTGGAGATTTGTTAAATGAGTTCCTTTTGACAATCAGTTTTTATTTGTATGATCTTACTTTTTATATAAGAATGGCTACTTGTAGTACCTTAATTCATATGTAACACAGTAGTCATATTATTTAGTTAGTAATTTCTTTATAGTTGATATATTTTTTGGTTCTTAAAAACAGAAGGTATGGAAAAAATGTCTGGGAAACAGATGCAGTCACAACTATATAGTGCCAGAATTTTTCTAAGGTAATCAAGTCAATTATATCATATAATCCAGAATTTTTCTAAGGTAAATCAAGTTGAAATATACTTTTTTTTTTATTTCTGTTTTCTTTATTAAAACAAAAGTCATTACAATTTCATTTTGATTTTATTGCATGAAAGCTATATATATATATATTGTCAAGTTCCTGTTTGATGCATTTTTTTAAGTTAGAATGGATCCTGTTTGTTATTTCTTATGAAATGTGGAGCTAAGGTAAACAAATGACCAGTCCATTAGTTCATTTTATTAATATTTCATTTTGTCATTATTGCATGAAATCTATATATTTATATATTGTCAAGTTCTTGTTTGATGCAATTTTTTTTAAGTTCGAATAGTTCCTGTTTGCTAAGTATATGAAATATAGAGTTGAGGTAATCAAGTAATGTCCACAATTTTTTTTTTTTTATTCTGATTTCCTGTTTGATGCATTTTCTGTTCACTGTTTTCCTGTTTGCTGCAATTTTCTTGTATTCTTGACTAATCTAGTTGGACTGGTCATTTGTTTTATATTTTTTTTCTGTTTTCATGATTAATTTATTTAATTAGATGGATGAATTTTCTTATTATTGCATGAAGCATATATATATATATATATATGTATTGTCAAGTTCCTGTTTGATGCATGATTTAAAGTTATTGAAGGTCATGTTTGTAAGGTTTATGAAATGTGGAGTTATGAGTTACTAAGATTGCTATTTTTTTATGAGTACAATATTTGAATATGTAATAATTAAATAATAGATTCAGCTATTCTGTTTTAACCATGTTGAATAGAAAAAACAATAAGAAAAAGTAAACTGAAACTATTATTATTGCCAAATATTGGAAATAATTGGTAGAAAACATAAATTCATAATCCAAACTATAATAATTAAAAAACCCAAGTAGCAAACATAACTGAAATTATTCAATAACTGGTTGTCCTCAATCACTGTTCAAAAGTCTTCAAGCTTAATTTTCTTCTTTTCTTTGGGATCTTGGTCACGGCTTGATCCTTCATCAAACAGATTCCCTATCACTCTCTTAGATGAATCATAAGAGGTAGAGGGATCTTCAAAATTTGCATTCTTTGGACTGTTAACTTCAACTTCTGATTGGTAATCAGCTTCCTGTGGAATAGATAAATTAATTATATCCTCAAACATAAAAATTTGATATAAAGTAATGTTAAAACATAACCTATATAAATTAACATCAACCTTTGGAGGATTTGTTAAAACACCAAATCTGTGCACTAAAATTGGATCAGTTGTGATTCTGGAGACAGTGAAAGTTCCGTTATACACCCCTAATTGACCCTTCTTCTTTCCAACCTTGAACAATAGGTCTTTGAACATCAGATTCTCCAGTTCCGGCGGCAAATCAGACCCGTCTTCATGCTGCCGTTATAAAAATAAAGTAGTAATATATTGTTAATAATGTAGAAAATAAATACCCTATTTAACATTAAATAAAATTAAATTAATAGTATATTTTTCTCCAAACCTTCAACATCTCTGTAACAACTTCTTCACAGGAGAGTCCAATTAATTCTCTTGCTACTTTGTCCCAGCAAAGAACGCGAATTACTCCGGTTTCGTCAAAAATTGTTAAGTGCAATTTGTACCTAGAAAATGTGTAAATTAAATTCAAAAAATTTGTAGTATGATAAAAGCGTCATTCAAATTAAATACTTATTATAAATGTATGCATACCTAAGAATTGCAAAGGGTATTTCATCTTTGCAATTGTTGCACCAAAAATTTTCACCTTTTCTTTCGACCTTTCTAACACACGTGGGGCAAGAGTTGAAAAACCAATTACCATCAACTTCAAAAATTGTGCCATAAATCCAAGACACATTATCCTGAAAATAATTGAACAACAAAAAAATATTATTATTCATAACATTGTGTTAAATATATTTAATAAAAAATCATAAAAAGTTTGTACGGTGGTTAGCTCTTCTAAAGCATTAAATTCGGCAAGACTTCTCATTGGAGCCAAACCGGACTGCAAATCGTCACACACGCTTGACATGAATGATTTAACATATTCCATTGACGATTCGGTTGGGCGTTTGTGGGAGATATACCTTAAATGACCAAAATAGAAAAAAAAATAAGATAAAAAACATAAATTAAATAAATGATTTGTTTTTAATCTCTTAAAGTTAATCACCTCTCTTTGAATTCTACAATCTCGGGTAGATCACACTGATAAATCATCTTCGTTGCCTCATAGGCGTTTGCAATTCTCACAGAGCCTAAAAAAGTCATTAATATTATATAATATAAATGTGCAGAAAAGTATTTGAAACATTAATAATTAATTAGCTATATACCATCATGCATAGCTTTTGATCGGCACATTTGAATGATTACAATTTTGACAGTGGATGTCAAAGGATTCTTGAATGCCTCAAGTAAAACATCAACATAATCCTCCCATAACGTGCAAACTAACTGGCAGCCTCTATAAAAATCACAATAGAAAAAATAAATATAATTAGAACAGTATCTATATTATGAAAATCTATATTATTAAATTATAGACTTACCTAACATCTTCAAGAAGAACATCTATATATCTCTTTTCAACACCCGCAGAAATTGCAGTTTGTAAACTTTGATAGTAAACAACTCGACCAATAACATCTACAATTCAATAGGCATTGATCGATTATAAAAAGTATAATATAAAAATTGTAATTATATAAATATTTATACTATATTAACATTACCAATAAGCCTTGATGAGTCAATGCTTGCTGGATCACATAAGTCACCGAAATCCTTGAAATCGAACATGAATCGAGGGTAGTCTTCATAAAAAATCTCCTTAATTTCAGTGTGTTCATCAAACACCATTTTGTCATTTTTTGGAGTAGTCTTGTACATGTAACGATCAACTCCCATGCTGAAATGCTTTATCGCAAAAGTACTTCCTTCGCCATTTATGCATATTTCAAAGTTTGTTGCTAAGCTGTCGGGTGCGGAGGCATGGATGCGTTCGCCCTACACAGAAAATCAAACTTTATGGACTGAAGCATAAAAAAAATAAATGAAAATTTGAAGATATGTAGACAAAAATATAATAACCTTGACATCATGGAAAACAAACTCTAGGCTTGATCCTTTTTTCTTGGGATAAAAACGAATCAATCTCAAAATTGCTGTTTTGTTTTTGTTCTTTGCAAGAAAAGTAAGATTATCAAAATAAGTAGCCATTTGGAGGTTGGAGAGTATATTTGAGAGTATTTCAAAGAAAATTTGTGAAGTGATGGTGATTACAAAATGAACAAAATGACACTGTATTTATAGGGGAAATAACGAAAATTAAATTCCATTTTTTTAGCTGGAAAATTGATGTGTATATTGTATTAAGTCAAAATTTAATATTAAATTGAATCAAATTCATGATTAATGAGTATTATTGTGTATATTCTTCACTTAAACCTCAAATTCCATGATTGATGCTCACCAAAAAATCAACCTGATTTTTAAACCGTGTGTATTACAAACTTTGTACAATCTAAATTTTAGTAAAACATCAAATTCCCTGATTGATGCTCACCAAAAACTGAATCTGATTATATATTCCCTCTGAATATGCATTTTTATAATTTCATAATTAATTTGGCATTTACTGTTGTATTGATCCTCATGCTGTATTGATCCTTACTTTGTCATTTTTTTTAATTTTATATTTATGTAATATCATTAGTTTTATAATTATTAATCTATTTCCTTTTTCTATGTTGCAGGCATAATTCATTCAAAAGGCACTGGAATGTTACATTTTTTTTATTGATTGATGTTATTTTGATATGTAATTTGATATTGAAATTTATTGGTGGAATGTTTTATATTTTCGACAAATGCAAATCATGTAATGAACTAAATCGGAAACAAAAAATTAGATTTTAGGGGATAAAATACAGTAAGATAGCATACAATTTTCAATTGAAACTTACCAATTCGTCACTCAATACATATGAAGCTAATTAATGGAAAATAAATAATTCATTTGTAACTGATTTTGGGGGGAAAAGAGGTTAGTGCCAGCTAGGTATAATTTAATAGGTTTTATTTATGAGGTAAAATTAAATGATTAGCCAGCAATTATATATATATAGATTATTATTTTAATGTGCTCTAATTAAGTTGTCTATTTCTCTATGTAGAAGACACAAGAAAAGGGGGAAAGGAGGAAGAAAATTGCTTTAAGAAAAGCTACTTGACTTGAAAAAAAAAAAGTTACAATATTAAAAAAGACCAATGTCCCTTGAAATGAAACAGTTACATAACTTGGCCGGGTCAAAACACAAAACAAGCCTCCTTGGTCTCTATTTACAGTGTTTTTTTTTTTCCTTAGATTTTCCATTTGTGAAGTGAATCATAATTCATGATGATGCCATATAGTTTGCTAACAAAATTAAAAAAGACCAATATTTTCAATCTCCGCTGATCAAAGAACTAAGTTGTGAACATCATAAAAAATAACGAAAAAAAAAATATCATCTTGCGACTTAACCATAGCAATAGTAAAATTCAATCATGAAGCATAAAAATTAAAACTTACCTAATCTAGAATGAAAACAAGTCCGGAGAGTGATAGTATTTGTTTGGAATTTTGAGTGACAATTGAATACTTTGAGATTTGAGACGTTTTAAGATTTTCAAATTTATGAGGAATGTTATGAAAATTTTATGAATTTGGAGTAAGATTTCGTACATAGTTTACTTTTTGAGCAAATTTTAAAAAGTTTGTAACAAATCTCTTACCTAAGATTTTTTAAAACTTTTAAAAATTTCAATTCAGACATTAAATGTCTTCAAAAAGGCCACAAGTTAAATAATACTAAAAAATATTTAAAAATCCCAAACAAATACGAACACGTGTATCAGTTAGAGGCGAGGCTGGGGAAGAACCACATAGGCGCCGGGAAAATCTTCTTGAGTCTGCGGACATCGACTGGATAATAGCACGGTGACACTGTCTTCTTCTCATAATCAAAAATGCCACTATCGTGGCCGTTGATCAGTTGATCATCCTCAAACACTTCAGTGCCTTCCATATCCGTGAAGTAAATGGAATTGGGCCTGAGTCCGGGCAGCTGGGCCACGGGCAAGGCAACCGCGTGGCTGCGGGCCCCCACGAAAAGAGCCCAATTCCCGAGCGAGGAGCACCTCACCAGATCCCCACCTTCTTCCGGGTCATATCTATCCACATCGAAATCAATAGTCAAGCAGTAGGGAAACGGCTTATAAAACCTCAGTCCGTGGTCCATAGAGTCGACCCAACACAGGCCCTCCAAGTCCACCACGTCAGTCGTGTGTGGAGTCACAAAGAGGATGTCCCGGCCCATGACCGCCAGCCGGGTCGTGGGCTTGGGCTGCAGACGCAAATCATCAGCAACCCTAGTTGAAACAGGGGAACACGGGTCCTGCAGGTCCCAACACTCCAAGTTATAGTATTTTGTCAAGGCAAAGAAGAGCCCGTGGTCCGGGGAGTAGACGCAGTCACTGTAGTTGCCACCCGGATTCATCCCGTCGTCCGGGACCAACGGGTCACCCATTGGAGCCCACGTGTCGTTGGGCCGGGCCGGGCAGCAGAAGGCCATCATTCCGTCCAGCTTGTAGATAATCACGGCCCTGCAGGCCTCATCGTCCGGGGTGGAGGAGAGGATGATCTTCTCCACGCCAACCGAGTCCCAAACCGAGTCGTGGTTGTAATTGGGGAGTTCGTGAAATGGGGGAAGCTTTATGTGGCGGCGGGATATGGGGTTGTAGAGGAACATATCGTGGGTGTGGGGGCTCCAAAGCCCGACCCACCCGTGGGAAGACCCCGTGAAGACCATGACATCGCCGCTGGCGGTTACTTCTCGAGCCGCCCCTTCGCAGGTTAGGGTTACGACCCTCTTCTCGCCTAGGCTGTAGAATTTGTAAGCTGCGGTGGTGGAATCGGATTCCAAGACGGGGGGGAGCATCAGCCAAGGATATGATGTTGAGGAAGATGAGGGTGGAGTTGTTTGCGCCGCCGTCCGCCCAGTGCTCATCGGACGGCAATGTAGGGCTTCCATTTCCCGATAATCCGACTGCCGGGGAACGCTTTCCGGCGAATCGTACCGGCCACGAGTAGTGAAGAAGCCATCGATGGCTGGTTGCTACGCGCTGTCGTCTCCATTGAGCCATTAGAGAAGCACAAATTGGATAGATGTGTGACGGCGGCCATCCCTTTATCTTTCTAAGTTTTTTCTCGCTTCAGACGTTGTTTGTAGGAATTTTGAGATACTTAAAAATATTTAAAAATCCCAAACAAATACGAACACGTGTATCAGTTAGAGGCCCTACATATCTCAGTTAATCCGGTATTGGTTGCTTGTCATGTTCCATTAAGGTGGTGTTAGACGAGTTCGGTGGGACTAGTGTGTGGGCTGGTCAGGGCTCTCTCGGTTAGAGATGGGTCGATTCGGGATTGTCTCGGGGGTTGAGTTCACCTGCTGTATAGGCGTTCGTGCAGTTTCGGTAGCGGTTCTCAGGCTCGAGGTTTTCTTTGTGTCGGTCGGTCACTGCTGGTTGAGCTTAGTTCAGTTCACTGGGGAAGGGCTCCGTTTTGCCTATTATTATTTATGCTATTATTTTTCTTTGTTGTGTGATCGTTGTGTTTGTGTTGGTGTGGTTTATGTAATTTTGGTTTGTGGTTTATGTGTTTTTGGTTTGGGCCGTTGGCCCCGGTTCGGCCTGAGTGTAGCCTTTATTCTCCTGTTGGGAGCTTACACTCAGGTATTACCCTGTTGGGGTCCTTTATGTATTGTCTTGTTGTGTTTCTAGGTTCAGTTGGTGTCGTAGTGTGCTCGTATTGCTAGCGTTGCTAGCTGGTATTCCGTCTAGGTTACATTGGTTATGGGTGTAACCTCTCATCTTCCGGGCTGTACATTACCTTTTGGGGTTTTTTTATGAGATATTTTATGNTTATAGAATTTATTATTGTATGATAAATTACTTTTATTAATAATATGTATTTTATGATAAATATTTACCATATCAACATATATACATAGTTTTATTTTTAAAAAACAAAACACACACACACACACACAAATGCCAATAATTATATGCATAGATGGTATTTTTTGTTGATTTTGTTAATTTTTATTTACATCACCAAGTTTTGTGCAATTATTATTGATTCAATAAATTCAAAATAAAACTACAAAACAATAAAATTGCAAGAACTCAAAAATAAATATCATGAACACAATATTTTACTTTATTTAATAGTATTATTGATTTTTTTTTTCTAAAATTCTACTTGTAACTCGTCAAATGATTATACTGCATCCAAATAAATTTCCAAGATTATCCCCATATATATATTTTTTTCAATTAATGGAAGGGTAGGCGTCGTGATCTTTCCAAGTTGAAGGAAAACTCAAAATTTTGTCGTAACGTGTGTCGAAATAATTACCCAAATGTTGCATCATCATGTTAGAAAGACCATGTGAAAGTAGAAAGTGAGATTGACAATGTTAACAATAATTTTTTATACACTAGTATGTAGCCCGTGCGATGCACGGGACAGAGATATTAATTGCATCATTACCATATGGTATGTCTTAGGCCTGAAAAAAAAAGAAAGAAAAAAAAAGTGGATCATCTATTTTCCACCTCTTTTAATCAAAATTGTGTTTTTAGCCAGAGCATTAAATTTGAGACGGTTAGCGCTAGCATGTAAATTAATTAATATATTATCCCGCTAACACGTTTATACTAATTTAAATTTGATTATACTATATTTATTTATTCTTTGATATAAGAAAAAATAACAATTTTACTTATTCTTGTTCACCACATAATATTTAGTTATTATTTTATTATAAAATTTTTTGTCATATAATGTCATTATTATTTATAAATCTTATAGAAATAGTATTCTTCTTAATTTTATTTTATTTAATATTTGATGTACGTTAATGTTATTTATTAATGTAATTAATATATATTATGTAAATAAATTGTAAATAGAAAAACCTTTTACATGAGGTCACACAATTAGCAAAAACCTTTTCTTATTAACAAAAAATGCTCGACAAATGATCCGAAACAGCACAAAATTTAGGAAGAATTACAAAAACTGCCGATAGAAGCTCAAGATTAATGACACAACCACAACAAAATCTCTACTCCCAAATTCAAAACAAATACAGACTTTCCAAAAGTCAAGAGTAGTTTTTACGTAAAAAATAAAAAATAAAACAAAAAAAACGCATATTCTAGTGTAGAACAATCTAACGGTTAGACGTGGTTAGAGGGGTTGGGGCAATCATACTTTCTTAAAGTAAATTAAAAAGAAAATCATATTCTTTCAGCCAAATGTAGCTACTGGTGGCCTGACTGCGACGGACCCGAACGTGGATGTAATCGAGCTTTGGGATTTCGAATGTTTGCGAATCCTCCTTTGCCTTTGTAGAGGGCATTTTTGAGTTCTTTTTGTTTGTAACAATTGTGAGCTTTTGTTGCTGTAATTTTGCTTTGTGATTTTAGAAACCTCTTATTTATTATATACTTTCATCCTTTTGTCCCTCAATGAGGATTTTTCTGTCCCATTAATTTGAAAAAACCTCCTAAATTACACTCTTTTTTTCCAATTATTTTTTTTTTTTTAAAAAAATAACTCAAAGACCAACAAAATCCTCAAATTCAGCTAACCACAAAACAGAAATAACCAAAATATTTCGAATTTCCAGCACATTTGGGACAGAAAAACAATTATAAGAGTACAATTTTTAATCTAAGCACAAATTCACACCTTTTTTCCCATAAAAAAAATCACCAACCAACAACAAAATCTCTAAATTCAGCTAGGCACGAAACATAACACACCAAAAGAATTCTGAATTTCCAGCACATTGCAAAACATTAAAGGGTGAGTATCTGCTTCAAAAAAAATGTTTCAATCTTACTCGATGTCGAGCCACACGGTCTTAGTAATCAGGCAAACCATTCATTGACCATTCATTTGTCAGCTAGACAAATCCCAGACGACAAAGATTACAGACTATCATTTCCGAATTCAATATAATAAAGAAAGGTAGAAGACGGAAGATAAAAACAGACAATTCAATCCATTTCTTGTATTCTCATTTATTCCGAAAAATCCAGAAGAACTGATGTATAATGATCTGTTGATAATCCACAAATACCGATGGACTATGAACTATACTCCTTTTCAAAGTATGCCCATTCGAGAAAGTATCCGTACCCTTATCAATAACGATGGAGCTTCTGAAATTACACTGCCTCCTTTTTAAGCCAGTCGACAAAATTATCGAGAAGTAAAGGCCAAGCTTCGCATGTATCATAATTTCGAAGATCCGGAAAGCTTGTATGCCAATAGTAACATGACACATATTTTAAAAAAAAAAGTGATAGTAAAATGGGAATTAAGAGTAATGAGAACACCTCTTCACAAAACCATAGAAAATTCTTCCACTGATCCATATTCATCACCTTGTAGTCACTCTGGATCTGATACCCAAATTTTCAATAAAACAAAAAAAAGCAAAAAAAAAAAAAGAAAAAGAAAAAAGGAATGTCAAGAAAGAGAGACATTCACAGTTATCCGAGGTTAGATGACTTAAAATACGCTGATTTGAATCATTTGATATAATTTTGATTGCGTACCTTAAGAAATTGGATGAATGAATCAACTTGTGCCGGATATTGAAATCCTAATACCAGATCAATCAATATGTAGGTGCTCTCAATATCTAAACATTTCTGTTTTTCCTCTGAAATTTTTGAATAAACCAGCCGAGTAAGAAAATAATCGAAGCACACACATTTACTCATAAATGCAGGTTTACAATATGTACAGGCATACCTGTTAAACAATAGCGAAAGGCAAACAAATAGATTGTAATTATCCTAACAAATCAATTGGAATAATTACCACTTCATCATGAAACAACGGACAGACAGAGGCATTGACATATCAAAAAAGTTTGTCTCGTTTCCATTTGAGCAGATCAGAGCTGATGACAAGAGAGAGCCCCTTAATTAGGGTGCCCGGGGCATGCGCTCTAACTTTGATAGTTACACGAAAAAGGGTAAAGCCCGACTCAACTATGTGAAAAGCCTTTGGATGCTCCAGATCGTCATGAGTTTCCATCAGTAGGACTACTCTCAACTTCAAAAAAGGTTTGTTGGATCTGTTGACGGCGTCGATTGTATAAAGAAGGGTGCCATAATATTTTTTGTGTTTTTTGTATTTTGAGGTCGTCCGCGTTTCGATGAGATGAATGAAAAAGGGTATCAATGAATATCCTTTTATACACGGTGTATATGTCTAAATGTTTATCTCATT